ATTTTGGTATTACAATATTTTTTAAAAAATATAAAAAAATCTTTGATTAAATAATTAGTTATTTAAATATTTTAGAATTACAAAAAAAAATTTCAAATTTAAGTTAAAATACTTATTAATATATGCTTAATTATTTTAAACTCAATAAAAATTCAAACTTAAACTTTTAAGATAAGTTCAAATATAAGTACCAAATACTCAATTCAATTTTACTTATAAACTCCCTTAATAGACTGCACTATTTTTAATCACGAGCAGCCCTAAAAGACATGGAAACCGCCACCACCCCCTTCTCCTTCATATGTTTCGACTTCTGATTTTGTGGCTGTGCGTCACTCTCAATAAAAAAAAGGTTAAATCCCCATTTTGGTCCCTGAACTATTGTACTGACCCTCGATTTGGTCCCTGAACTAAAGAAATCCCTGATTTGGTCCTTAAACTATTGTACGGACCCCTGATTTGGTCCCCACTGTTTATAATTTGGCCTAAGTTGGTCATTAAACTATTGTACGGAACTCCAATTTGGTCCTTACTGTTTACAATTTCGCCCTAATTTGGTCCTTACTGTTTACAATTTCGCCCCAATTTGGTCCTTGAGCTATTATTTAACAGAAGGACCAAGTTGGGTTAAATTGGTAAACAGTAGGGATCAAATTAGGCATCTGTATAATAGTTTAAGGACTAACTGGGAGTCCGTACAATAGTTTAGGGACCAACTCAGGGTCCGTACAATAGTTCAAGGACCAAATTAGGGATTTCTTTAGTTTAGGGACCAAATCGAAGGTCCGTACAATAGTTTAGGGACCAAAATAGGGGTTTAACCAAAATAGGGACCAAATCACATATATAGCATAAAAATAATTAATCATAATTATTATTGTATAAAATTGTAAGGTTTTAAATTATGAGTAAATTTTTTTATAACTATTTATCTACATGGATATAATTTTTTTTTAGATAAATGTTAATTTTAATCCTTTAACTTTAAGATTTTACATAATTTTCGTCTTTTAACTTTTTTTGTGTACTTTTTTATCTCTTAATTATGAAAAATATATTTTTTTAGTTTTCTATTAATTAATCCATTAAATTTATCTAAATATGCATATTTTTAATCCCTTAATTTAAAGTTGAGAGATAAAAATGTGCATATATTAGAAGTTGAGAGACTAAAAATGTACATATTTAAACAAACTTAAAAGATTAAAAAGTGCATTTTTCATAATTGAGAAACAAAAAAATACATAAAAAAAATTGAGAGAAGAAAATTGTGTAAAACCTTAAAATTGAGGGATTAAAATTGACATTTAACCATTTTTGGTAACAAAGTTTATTACAAAATAAAAAATTACAATCAATATAAAAATTTCACAAAATGAAAAAGAAAAAAGTAAGGGCATACTCCATGCAAATTTGGAATTCAGCCAATTCCAACTCTTGCTTTTCTCATTAGTACCACCACTATCACCTTACAACAAATTATTAGAGTTACATAAAATTTTAAATTTTATTTTTTAAAATCTTAATTTAATTTAATTTAATTATTAAAAAAAATTAATAATTATAACTAATTAATAATATTTATTACTTAACAATTAAAATTAATTTACATATTAATATTTTTAAATCTCATAATTAATTATATAAAAAAAATTTTCGGGACACAATCATTTTATGTATGACATTAATTGTGCTTTATGACTCCTACAATTTTATTTATTCTATTTTGGCATGTCAAATCGATTAGGGCCTTCCTAAGCTTGGTTTCACTCCCTCTTGGATTTGGAGAAGTCTTCTACAAGGATGAGATGTTTTAGAACTAGGGCTAAGGTGGAACATTGGTCAGGATCAAAATGTGTCCTTTGGGGTCGCAAATGGATACTTACCAAGCAGGGATTTCAGGTTTCAACCCCCCAACCACAACATGGCTACAACATCAGGATATGTAATTTGTTAACTCCCACCTTTGGGTGGGATTTGTAGAAGCTTAATCTTCTTTTATGCTTTGAAGATGTGAAGGCTATAGCGCGAGTTCTAGTTGGCCCTTCTCTAGACAAATTAATATGGCATTTTATAAGGAATGGGGAGTTCACAGTTCGTTTTGCTTACCAACTTACAAGGAAGAATGGTTTTGGATTGTTTCCATTAACTAATTTCCAAGTCAATCCTTACGCCTCCTTTTTGAAATCTATATAGAAGTTGGGTGTTCCCCCCAAGATAAAAGTTTTCATATGGAAAATTCTAACTAATGCTTTACCTGTTAAGACAAATCTTTTTCATAAGGGCATGGTGGAGAGCCCTCTTTGTGGTCTTTGTGGTGGGGATGATGAGTTTACTACCCATATGCTATTCACTTGTCAATATGCTGCTTGAACTTGGTTTGCCTCTCAACTAGCCTTTCGTCCTTCTATTTCATCTATTTCTAAGATGGTTAATTGGTGGAGTTTTGTTTCTTCTCAGTGGGATAAGTGTTTTGCAAATATAATGGAAGAAACTACTTGCTAGTTCTGGTATATTTGGAAAAATAGGAATTTAGGCATTTTTCAAGGCCATACATTGCAACCACAAATGGTTGTGCAAAAACCCATGTTTCTAGTAGTTGAGTTTTGTAGAGTTAATGGTAAAGACCCTCTCATTCCACTAGTGCAACAACTTAGGGATGGATTAGAGGATAAATTACAACGGTGGAGTCCACCACCTGAATATCTTGTTAAATGTAATATTGATGCAGTTGTGGATATTAAAAATGGTGTTGCAGGACTAGTTGTGGTCTATCGTAATAGTAATGGCATTCTTGTTCATGGTTTGGCCTTCAAACAATCAGTTAGTTCTATTTTAATGGTTGAAACTCTTGTATTAAGAGCTACAGTAGGTTGGGCAGCTAGGAATGGCCTCAAAAAAATCATGTTTGAATCTGACAGTAAGGAGCTCATGCAAGTTGTTAACAAAAAAGTTCATTTGCCCTGGCAAATAGAACTTTTGGTGCTTTTCGTATGGAAATTGAGCAAGTCTTTCTCCTTTTTGTAAATTTAACTATGTATATAGGAAGGCTAACTCTGTAGCTGATTGGGTGGCCAAACAGTATCTTAAGAATAGATGCCCTTTTTAGGGGTGGGCATTCAGGTGGGTAACCGAAGGGTTATTGGAAACCGAACAAAAAAATGAATTTGGTTTGGTTTCAATGGTTTTTAAGTTTTATTGTTTCAGTTTTGATATTAACCAAATAAATTTTGGTTTGATTTTAGTTGAACCTTTCACAAACCAAAAACAAAAAATGAGTTTCTTGAAAATCAAAATTTGGATAAATATGACAAAAAATGATAAAATATGAGATAAAATATAATCTATTATTAAAAAAAATTGATTAATATTTATTTAGTACAAATCAAAACCAAATTAATTTTATTGATAATCGAACCAATTGGTTTGTGAAAATTTCAGTTCGGTTTCAATTATCAAAATTAAAGAAAAATTTTTTTGGTTATTTTAGAACTGATTTCGGTTGCCCACCCCTAGCCCTCTCTACTGGACCATCAATCCACCTACAATGCTATATAATCTCTTGTGTATTGATGTAAATTATTAATTAAATAATACAAATTCTCATGAGTGTTCAAAAAAATCGATTAGGGCCTTCCATTTATCTTATGTGTGCAAAGATATTTGTCCTACTTAACATCGTTTAATTGAACTGGAATTTAAATAAAAGATTACGAAAATCAGTGATGAGTATGAATTAATTTTTAAAATATCTGATTCTTTTTAATTGTTTCCCGCAACTTTAAACTTCAAATTTCAAAATTTCAGTTTAAAGTTTTGTAATTTTACCGAGACACTTTTGTAAAGTGAAAAATAAGAATGTAAAGTTACCTTAATTAGTGTTTTATTTTTAAGAGAGGGTAAAACTTGAATCTCCAAATTTTTATTAGGGTGAAGTTATTTTTTATAAAATATAAATGATTATTTGAATCACATGTTTAATATTGTATTAACCAAAATAATATAATTTTAAAGGTAAAAAACTTATAAAGTTATAATATAATATATTATTAATAATTAATTTTTATTTAAAATTTATTATATTATTATATATTTATTAATTTAATATTATATTATATTAATTTAATGAGACATCAACAAACAATCACATCACGCGAACAATTTTTTGGCAGTATTTGTTGACAGCAGTCATATCACGTGACGTTATTAACACAAAACAAATAATTTCTGATTAACATCACATTTAAAACCATAAGTTGAGAACTTTTAATGAAAATATTTTAAAATTTTTGAAAAAGCATCCACAGCCCCCCATAAAAAATAAGTGCACCAATTATATAATCAATTTTATTAAAAATATTGAGAAATTAATTTGAATTTAAATTAAAAATGACATATTCTATGCAACCAATAATCAATCTCATCTTCTATACTGCTCAAAAAAAAAAAAACCTTAATTAAATTACATAAACACAATAAACGTTTTGGGCCTTGCATGAAGTGGATGGGCGTAAATTGAGCCTTGCCTCTAACTATGGGCCGCAGTCATTTACCCTAATCATCACCAACGGAAGTGCAAATGTTTTGCCAAAATACGTGAAGTGTGATTCGTGAAGGAAGGTGGGACCAACCAAACCGTACATTTTTGTCAGATAATTGAACTGCCAACCCAGCAAATCAGAGTTTGACTCGTGCACGGTCATTTATTAAGCCACGTGTCTTTCTGTTTGTGACGTTATCTTGTTTCTTCGACGTATTTTGTCCTCTTTTGTCGGTGATGCCCACCTTGCTTTCTATTAATCCATGGCCGTATAGGTCCAGATCTGCGCCATTTCCACTCTCTGGAAGCTTTCACTGAACTGAACTGAAGCACCAAAAACCCAAATCCGGATTTCGTTTTTCGATATACCCATTTCAAAATTTGGAAGCTTACTCTTACATAATGTAAGGGAGTTTCAGGGGAAATTGGTTCTGGGATGAGAGGGGGGAAGATGGAGCAAACGTGGTTTGAGCCAATGCCGAGAAAGAGGGTTCCGATGAGGGTCTGGTTAAGCGTACAAAAATCAATGGGTCTCCTCGTGGGTGGGAATCACACCTCTTCCAGGTTTTGCACTCGCTAATTTTCTCTTTCGTTCTGTGTTTGGCTGGTTTCAATTTCTCTTCATTTTTCACTTTTCAATCGATCTGTTTGTCAAAGATTTCGATTCTGCGTTGCTATTAGCTGCATAGAAAAGGGTTATTCATGGATATTAAGGACTTGAGATCAAAGATGTTTCTCGGGTCTTGTGCGAGGCGTGTGCTTTTCCGTGCATTTGTGTTTGCCTCTGCTCTGTCAATTGTTCCTTTGCTGCAAAATTTGTCTGGGGATGATCTAGGAATGCTGAACTCCTTTGCCAACCATGGTTGTGCCTGTGAATCTGATTTCTCTGGTCCATTTCTGTTTAAGAGCACAAAATTGTTTTCTTGTATCTGGGGTTCAGTTGGATCAATCCACTGTAATGAAAATGTGAACTTGACAGCCAGTGTGATTAGAGAGCTAATGGGTATGCAAATGTTGAATTATGATGCAAAAGCTCTCTGTGTTGGTCATGGATCGGCCTCGGCCATTGGAGCTTTGAGAGACTTGGGATTCACCAATGTCTATGGGGTTTATAGTCAACCCTTTTTCTCGTCTCTGAAGCGTAAGAAGTTCATCCATGAGCTCGATTACAAAGACAATTCCTTGGATTTTGTGCTGTGCAGAGACCTCGATAAGGTTTCTGTCCCTGCACTTATGGTGCTCGAGATTGAGCGTGTTCTTAAACCCAGTGGGATTGGGGCTATGCTTGTGGGGTTTAGTGGATCCGAACCAAACAGCTTAATTAGGTCTGCAACCCCAATTTCCTCATTCCTGAAAGCTTCCAGTGTAGTGCATGTTGCTCACTTGAATCAGTTTACACTAGTGGTCTTCAAGAAGAAAAGCCTAAATATCTCTCTCTTT